AGTGGCACGGGCACTCCGCCCCCTTGCAGGTAACGGAGTCCGGTCCGCAACTCCGAGATGTTCATACCCCCGCAATGGGAGCATGAGCCATCCACGAAAGCCACCTCAGCGTGCTTCATGCCCAGACACGAGAGGCACCGATCGTGACCATCACCCAGCGCCAGGTAACGACAGGACGCTCGGGTGATACGTTGTCTATAGCAAGACCCACATCATCTTTTGCCAAGTTTGCCAAGCAACGTCGTCTTTAAAAAGACGCACCCGAAATTGCTCTTTTAGGGGAAAAGGCTCTTTTAGGCGCACAGGGGAGATGATCATCTGCAACACAAACAGGGGGCAGTGCAGCCTGATATGTGCAACCCACTCGACACGGGAAACCACCACCGCTGAAGCCCCATACCGCCAACACGAAGAGCTCTCCAAGAGCGCGCTGAACTTGTTCAGTCTTCTTCGCTCAGTAGAGTAGTCAGGAGCAGAACGATGTGATCGCTCGGCTCCGAAGCGAAAAGCTGAATATGCGCTGCATCTGCTGCCTACTTATAATCACGCTGTGATCAGCAGCAGCTGGATGCAATAATCGCATGCCAATGTGCATTGGCTCGTTTAGTTTACACTCGAAGTAGATTGGTCCCTCTAAGCGAGATCCCAATTTCGTCGGTCATCCGACGTGACGTCGGGAGTGACCGACTGAAAGGGAACCATGTTTTTACCTCTATTGCATTGTCTGTTCCAGATAGTTTGATATATATTTAGTATTTATACATTTTTAACCAGAATAACCCATGTTGTTTTTAGCGTACATCACAGCAGTGTCCATCTACTATTTTAATATGCAAAACTGTTAGCCAAAAATAGCAGTGGGCATTTACTTCCGAGCCTTGAATGCACCCAGCCTATAAAATAGAGCCAATAGACAGTTTTTTTTCTGCAGAGAGGGTCAAAAACAGAATAGAAAATAGCCTATTACTTCAAAAAAGAATTTTTTAGAAGTTTAGAATATGTTTTTTGATGTAAAAATCTTAATAACATTATAAACCTCAGAGAACATTATAAAATAATATGCACTTTAATGCACTGGTTGATTCAGTTCACAAATAAGAGTGAATGATTCATTCATGAAAATCTACTTTTATGGTGCTTTTTGGTGTTTTTTCGTGTCATTTTTGGAGATGAACAGTTGTTGTATAGAAAAAAGTTGCGTGAAGATTCTTTAAAATAGAATATAAAAGAAGAAAGTCATATGGGTGTGAAATGACGTGAAGGTGAATTTATTTATTTATTTTTTGCTGTTGCTTACCCTCCATCCTCCTGAAAGCCTTCAAGTTCATCTCTCTGCTCAGCCAAGGTGGACTCCAAGTCCAGATAACTGCCATTATGAGACAACTCTAGAGCACAGTCATCGAGCTAAGAAAGTGACAAAATGAAAAAGATAGATTAAAAAAATATTCATACGCAACAAGAATCAAAATAACTTCTTAAAACAAATAATTATTATGGAACATTGCATCTTAGTGCAATCATAAATACATATTCAAGTAAACCATCAGTAATGCCAGTGCAATGGATATGCATGACATCATGCTGAGCCTTGACATGTCAGCTATGTGCTTTATAGGAATGCACCATTATTTTTTATTCATAACATCACACAACTTCATAAACAGTGGCATACCACATTTAAGCGGTCCTTTCATGCTCTAATTCATATTTCACTTCAATATCAACTCATTGACAGAGATACTGTATAAAACTAGGTGTTACTAAAACTTAAATGTTCTTAAAGTCATTATGCTGTCATGTTTCTACGCTACCTTCATTGATAGCCACATTTTGCCAGAACATTATTTCAAAACGTGTAAGAATCATATCAATATCGCAACTGAGGAATCAAAAGAACTTGTCATAACTTCAAAGCACTCTTATTCAAAGCATTCAGACTGAATCTGATTCATAGAAGTGTTGTGAGAAGCCCATCCACACCATTTGGAGATATGCAGCAGTCTTTAGAGGTCTCTAGTGCTCTGTTGGAGGCCTGCCTATTTGTTGACACTCAATTACAGCCCAGTGATGGGATTTGAAACCTCCCAGGGGGCCGTTGCCGGGCAGCAGCGCGAACTGTCAATCAACGCGTGAGCAGGGTCACCCGCGACTCTAAACATGCTAATTACACGCACTGTTCCCCGTTGGCTCCCCCAGCACCAGATCAAGCCTTTAAGCCCCTGCCTGGCTTACCAAGCCACATCCAGCCCCTGGGACAGGTAAGAATATCCTTCATGCGTGGATACCAAGAGGAATTTACTTTTGCCAGCATGTCTAGAATACCAAAGGGGTCTTTGCTGAAAGTCTCTGTCCTCACCTGTAAGATCTTTGGAATCCTAGTAGTTTTGATTTGCATCGTTATGAAAACATATACTTGGACAACTGATTTAGCTAAAATTACCATAAAGCTACCTCAGGAGTACTATGTGCAAGAGTTAGAATTAAAAGTCTTAAATGTCAAGCCTAAATATGGGGCATTGAATACCATTTGGGCCAAATATATCCGGTTCAATAACAAAATAGAGTATCTATAGAGTATTTATTAAAACATAAAATATTCATAAACATAAAAGAATGTATTCTTTGTATTCTCACACTTTTATATTATTTTCATATGAAATACCATTATTTAGAAAGGTTACAGTTAATGCCTCTAAAATGCCTCTGTGGTGTAACCATTTAATAAAATCATTATTTCAGGTTTTTGAAGATTTATTATTATTTTATTTTTTAATTTTTTAGATTTCTAGATTTTTTTGTGTTACTAATATTACTTTTTGGGAGAGTCGCACCACATGACATTGATTTGCTATTAACAAGTCAAAAGATCCAGTATTTTTGGATTTTAGTTTTAGATATTTTAGATGTTTTTTTTTTGTTTGTTTTTTTTAGATGAAATAAAGTACTTTTTTCAAATATATTAAAATGTGTTACTAATATTACTTTTTGGGAGAGTCGCACCACATGACATTGCTATTAAAAAGTCAAAAGATCCAATATTTCAGGATTTCTTCTAGATATTTTTACTTTTTTCTTTGTTATTAAAAAGTCAAAAGATCTGATATTTAAGGAGACTTATTGACCTTGACTCAAAGTCATAAGGTCAATTCCTGTTTTTGTTTTCTCTTTTCTGCTCCACATGACTTGGTGGACAAAGTTTTTCAAATACAATGTTTTCCTTTCAAGAATTTCTCAGTATGACACCAAGACAATTGTATCATCCCGACAATTTGGATATCTTCTCAAAAAATGAATTTTAATTAAAAAAAATTAAACATGCTTATTATAGAAGAGGTGCATTCAAATGACTTTACGTATGAATTGCAATGTAAATGTATTTTTAAATAAATTAATAGATCTGCACCAAAAAAACAAAAAAAAAATGGCTACCATGAACGTCTAGGTTACTTGTGTAACCCTCTTTCCCTGAAGGAGGGAACGGAGACGTTACGTCAGTGACTGACGAATTGGGATCCGTATGGAAAACGCCACTATTGCTGACCCCCTCCAGTGCCCTGCTGAAGCCGGCAAGTCCCCCCACACCAGCTGGGGCGGCAGATAGGACAGCGGCTAGGCAGAGGTGTCCGCCACTGCTGTTCCATACAGTGGTACATTGGATAACACTGGGAAAGCTTACCCAGTTGGGACGCTACGGAAGCCACATCCCGCACATAGGAGGTATTATGTGGAATTACACATATGGACTGGCCCAGGGCAGTACTACATATGGAAGTCTCTGCGGTAGACTCAACCCACCTGGGGTGAGATCACTACACTGCAGAGATGGCAGTGAACGACTGCCAGGGAAAGACACGGGCTCACCGAGAGGGGAGCCGTACCGTGGAAGAATACACATGTGGGATCACCCGAAGGGGGAATCACTACACACGGGCACCTAGCCCAGCACAAGGGCTGACCTTGGGCATGCACACGAGTGCTGAGCCTGGCGTCAGGCGCTCCGCCACGCCTGACCGCCGAGGGTGCGGGAGGAACTCCACCAGGGTTCGCCATGGGGAACTGATTGAGGAGCACAAAAAATGCTTGCGGCGGGAATGCCGCCGCAAGCATGATCGACACCAAGCAGGTCCGGTGCTACTGCCTACCTGAGGCGAGTACACGAGAGGACATGGGCTCTACACGGAAATTATAGAATCTCGCAAACGTGTTAGGCGTCGCCCAGCCGGCAGCTCTACAGATGTCTGCTATCGAGGCGCCCCGCGCCAATGCCCAAGAAGATGCCACTCCTCTCGTAGAGTGAGCTCTCACTCCGAGGGGGCATGGTAAACGTTGGGCCTGGTATGCCAAGACTATAGCCTTGTGACTGACTGAATGGGAACTGCGCACCTTGCCCAAACCTGACTCTGTCGGGGAAATAACTACAACCTCTGTGCATGATTAATCCAGCCTAGAGTTTTGGGCTGCGTTTACCATAAAGCCACTGTCTCCGTTTCTTCCTCTATCTTGGGCAGCACTGAGATAAAGACAACAGACTTTCGAGCAGATTGCAAGAGGCCTGGTAACAGGATTACCACTCTTCTCCACCTCCCAACACCTTTGACTGCCTGTCTGCAGTGAATTACACGCCAGTCAACACCATTAGGTGTGGCAGCTAGAAACCTTAAGCCTCTTTCCACAGAAATTCCGGAAAAGTAGTTCCGCCAACTGTTCCGATTCGGTCATTCACACTGTCAGAGTTTCCGCGTTTTCTGTGCTTGCAAATTTGACAGGAATAAATGTCAGCATAGCTAACAATAAAAGGAGTTGGAAAAGGTCTGTATAGAAAAATGTAAAAAAAGAAGACAACACTAACTGCAAACTAGAGTGATTTGCTGCAAAAATGTCTGGAATCAAATCTCAGTTTTAGATTTCAATTGTCCTGGGATGGAGTCATGTAAACTACAGCAGATTATTTAAGTGTCTGAGCAATTTTAAAATGTTATGCTAAGTTGAACATTACTTTGCGCTTTATGTGAATATTAGAGATGTACATAATACCATATTTTTTAAAAGTGACTGTTCATTGATCTGTCTGAATGACTATTACACTAATCGTATTATGGAAGCTCCGTATAATTAGACTAGTTTCAGGTTCATCTGAACCTGATTGGAAGTGTTTCTTATAGAGGCGTTTACATAAGACATCTTGACGAAGCAAAATAGAATGGAACTGAATGTTCAAGGCTTGTTTTTAAAACTCAAACTATTTTTAACTTGACAACACATGGCAAGACGCTCGAAAAACATACGATGTGACGCAAAGGCATCTATCTAAACTTGTATGGCTATAGCGACAGTGCTTTATTGAGAAATTAAAGGGCTCTACTTTTCCAAAAGGGTTTTATCATGAAAACTGACTAACAAGTAAACCGTCAGTACACTAATTAAAAGCAATATCAAACCTAAAAATATAGGAAAACAAAGTTGTAATCGCTTACTAATTAGATGCTGTGTGCAGGTTTGTCACTGAAATTCTTGGAGCCACGGACAAAATTTGTTATAGGTCCATTACAGGGCCCAAGACAACATTAGTTTCTGACAACAGTCCTGGTTGCACAACAAGTCTATCCTGACAAATCATCAGTGAACAAATATTAAGTATGCAGAGTAGAAATTTTAACAGTAGAAACAATTAGAGAAAACATTACATCATAACATGTCCTAACATAATCCATTAACAGGCTCTGTCATTCAATTACCTGCCACAAATTATAGTAATTTAATTAAAAGTGGACATAAAGATTGAACGGAACAGACAGAATGAGCAAGGATGCTACAGTAACTGGTAAAGGCATTAAGGCCAGAAACGCTTTGATCCCATGGCCACTCTATTCCTTTCAAAGAGCCAGTGGCGCCCAAACACCATGTCATGTCGGAGAAACAGCACACAACATGTGGTCAGCCATGGCAACAATGACGGCAGGTTTCATCTTTCAAGGGTCTACATTTCTCATCAATCCGTAAAATCCAACAACAAGTTCAGTGAAGCATGATATAGGACAGGGGACTAGGAGGAAAAGGATGAGGGCAGTTACAAATAGAGGGTTTAATTTAACATGTCCTTAAGATAGAAAGAGTGCAACACAAGATTACAGCCCAGATCTGAAGCTGACAGGAAATCCAGACACGCAAGCCAAAGTCAGGCTATATTTAGTGCACATGGACCTGGTAGAGGCATGTCTGCTAGAGGTATAGGATGGGTGAGATGTGAAAGTAATCATGAAAAAAAAGAAAAACAAGGAAGTTCCACTCAATCTCATTCTATTTACCAGCTTAACAGCCATTTACAATACAGTGTGAATTTTGCTCATAACAGTCCTGATATGTCAAGGAAGAAATAAATACCAAATTCTTTAAAGAAAAATGAT